GTTTGATGAGCATGATGCTGGTGTTGTTGATGATGAAGACAACACCTGGTGATGGCAATGAAGATGATGATGCCGATGACGCTGAAGACAATGATGATGATGGTGGTGACGATGATGGTGATGATGGTGATGATTTTCTTGGTGAGAACGATGATGCTGATGAGCAGGATGGTGATGGTGATGGTAATGATGTTGGTGATGATGGTGATGATGATGATGGTGATGCTGATGAGCAGGATGGTGGTGTTGTTGATGATGGTTGCAACCATGCTGTCGACAACAATTGTGCTGATGACGATGATAATGTTGGTGGTGATGCTAACGATGATCACAATAAGGGTGATGATGGTGATGATGCTGGTGTTGATGGCGGAGAAGACATTCATGATGTCTCGAGCGAGGCGCTGGCGATGGTGATGATGATAATGAGGATGATGGCGGTGATGATGAGGAGGATGATGGAGATGAGGATGATGATGATGATGATGATGGTGATGATGATGATGATGGAGCAGCTTTTGAGGATGCCTCGGGCGAGATCCGGGTTTTAGCACACCCAAGGGGGAGGGCCGCCAGGGGGTATCTCACTCGTCCGTTCGCGCCCAGATCGCGGGGATGCTTCAAGCGGTTTGCATGTTTGGGGCCCCACTACATTCCGCTTTCGGAGCACTGGGGGAGGATACCTTGGACGAGGGGCTGGCTTTCGCACCCCAGGGGGGGCAGATTGCAAGGATACTTCGAGCGGTTTAATTGTTTTGTTGGCCAGATTCGTTCGCGTTCAGAACAGACTCTGAGGATGTCTCGGGTGAAACGCTGGCCTCAGTACCGCAAGGGGCTTAGACTACGAGGATCTATTTGGCGGTTTGCTTGTTTTGGTTGTGTCAGACTCGCTTGCGTCCAGAGCAGAACCCGAGGATGTCTCAAGCGAGTCGCTGGCTCTCGCGCGCCAAGGAGCGCAGATTGCGAGGATGTTTCAGGCGATTTGCTTCGTCCGGTGGCCAAAGTCATTTGCGGGACCAGCGCGGTGGCCAGCACTCCCAAGGGACGGGGGGAACGTATTCCAGGATGCTGAAAGTGGCCAACATCCACCGCACAGGCAGGATCCACGGCGTGCTCCCTGCTCACGTGGGAATGCGGGCTCGTTTCGTTGGCAAGCCCAATGAAACATAGAGCACCGGGCCACCGTCGTTGACTTCGTATTCGAAACGGACGACCAGATGAACTACCGCAATAACCGCCCGGGCGGGATCTTCAGGTCGTTCCGTTCCCGACGGGCATTTGGCTGCAGGTCGACCACTTCAAGCAGGCCCCCACGTGGAAAAAAAAAATGAATGATGTGGACAGCAAAGAGGAGGCTGCAAAAGAGAAGATTGCTCGCGGCCTGTTTTGCATGCTGCTGATGGAGGCCACATTCACCTGGGAGGCGTCGCCCGTGTCTCACAGCGCAAAGCGCTTCGGCTTCATGCCCTCGCACGCCCACTACCTGACAACGACGACTACGCAAGGGCAGACGGTACGCGGCGCAGTGACCGTCGACTGCGCGCGCCAGGGGCCCCAGGGACAGCGCGGCGCTGACGACGAAGCATGGTGGCTGAACCTCTATGTGATGTTCTCCCGCGCCACCCAGATGGCGGACACGTTGCTGGCGCGGTCGCCTCTTCATTGGCCGCTGGACAAAGGTCGACCAAAGTCGGCGAAGGCGGTTCTCAAATGCTTCGAGAAGAAAGAGGGTTTAAGGGTGGAGAGATATGTTGTGCGTGCCGAGAAATACGGGATGGAGCTACCAGAAGAAGAGTAGAATATTGAACCCTCTGTGGCCCGATGCCAAGTGCGGACGGTCTTGCAGGAGCTGGCTCACATGCGCAGCCCGGTCAGATGCTCTATGGCCATTGCGCGAGCGTGACTAAGTTGCTGGCCCGACGCCAGGCGCCGACGACCTCTTTCTCCAGTTCCCCGCGCGCCCAGCCGCGCGCTGCCCGATGCCAAGTGGAGATGATCGCCAGACTCGTCGGCACGAGGCAAAGTGCGAACAATGTGGCCCGACGGCATGTGTCGACGACGTTTTTGCGTGCTGGTGGCGAACGGGACTTCCTCGAGTCGCTAGATAAAACGAGCCACGCGTTCCCCCCTTCTCTCCATGTGCTTTTGGCTGGGCTGCCGCAGTTTACACCGCCGGCGGGACACTGGCGCGCGAGCTCCCAGCGCCAAACCGATAGCAGACCCTCTTTTCCACGTGGTGCGCAGCGTGAGATGTTTGCGCGAGCCACTGCGTCAGGACGTCTGTGCCAGCGAACGAGGTGCAGGGGTCTTGCACGCCATGTACATGAGCACCCACGTTGCTCGTTACAGTCCAGGTCACTGATGCGCATAAGCATTCATCATAAACTAATGCATGTCTAGATTCATGCGCAAAAAAACCTTCGTGAAAGTGAGATCCATTCACATTCGAACTTATGCACCGTGAGGTTTTCATTCCCAACCCTCCTGCGTTGGGTTGTCGTTTTGAATAGAGCACTGCTCGCGCGTCTCCTTCCCCCCGCGTCTCCTTCCCACCGTCTCCTTCCCACCCCCTCCCGTCCCTCTCTTCCCCCCTTCCTGCCTTTGACCTCGCCATCCCTGGGGGGCTGCGATCTGTGAAACTGTCGCCACTTTCGAGGCCTGCTGGGGGGCCCAGCACAGTGGGCACACACGGCAGATTCAAACTAGACCTCGCCATCCTTGGGGGGCTGCGATCTGTGAAATTGTCGCCACTTTCGAGGCCTGCTGGGGGGCCCAGCACAGTGGGTACACACCGCAGATTCAAACTTGACCTTGCCATCCCTGGGGGGCTGCGATCTGTGAAATTGTCGCCACTTTCGAGGCCTGCTGGGGGGCCCGGCACAGTGGGTACACACCGCAGATTCAAACTAGACCTCGCCATCCCTGGGGGGCTGCGATCTGTGAAAGTGTCGCCACTTTCGAGGCCTGCTGGGGGGCCCAGCACACTGAGTACACACCTCAGATTCAAATTAGACCTCGCCATCCCTGGGGGCTGCGATCTGTGAAACTGTCGCCACGTTCGAGGCCTGCTGGGGGGGCCAGCACACTGGGTACACACCGCAGATTCAAACTACACCTCGCCGTCCCTGGGGGGCTGCGATCTGTGAAATTGTCGCCACTTTCGAGGCCTGCTGGGGGGCCCAGCACAGTGGGTACACACGGCAGATTCAAATTAGACCTCGCCATCCCTTGGGGGCTGCGATCTGTGAAATTGTCGCCACTTTCGAGGCCTGCTGAAAGGGCCCAGCACAGTGGGTACACACCGCAGATTCAAATTAGACCTCGCCATCCCTGGGGGGCTGCGATCTGTGAAATTGTCGCCGCTTTCGAGGTATGCTGGGGGGCCCAGCACAGTGGGCACACACCGCTAATTCAAACTAGATCTCGCCATCCCTGGGGGGGGCTGCGATCTGTGAAATTGTCGCCACTTTCGAGGCCTGCTGGGGGGGGCAGCACAGTGGGTACCCACCGCAGATTCAAATTAGACCTCGCCATCCCTGGGGGGCTGCGATCTGTGAAACTGTCGCCACTTTCGAGGCCTGCTGGGGGGCCCAGCACAGTGACTTAGACCTCGCCATCCCTGGGGGGCTGCGATCTGTGAAACTGTCGCCACTTTCGAGGCCTGCTGGGGGGCCCAGCACAGTGGGTACCCACCGCAGATTCAAATTAGACCTCGCCATCCCTGGGGGGCTGCGATCTGTGAAACTGTCGCCACTTTCGAGGCCTGCTGGGGGGCCCAGCACAGTGGGTACCCACCGCAGATTCAAATTAGACCTCGCCATCCCTGGGGGGCTGCGATCTGTGAAATTGTCGCCACTTTCGAGGCCTGCTGGGGGGCCCAGCACAGTGGGTACACACCGCAGATTCAAATTTGACCTCGCCATCCCTGGGGGGCTGCGATATTTGAAAGTGTCGTCACTTTCGAGGCCTGCTGGGGGGCCCAGCACAGTGGGTACACACCGCAGATTCAAACTAGACCTCGCCATCCCTGGGGGGCTGCGATATTTGAAAGTGTCGTCACTTTCGAGGCCTGCTGAAAGGGCCCAGCACAGTGGGTACACACCGCAGATTCAAATTAGACCTCGCCATCCCTGGGGGGCTGCGATCTGCGAAATTGTCGCCACTTTCGAGGGCTGCTGAGGGGCCCAGCACAGTGGGTACACACCGCAGACTCAAATTAGACGCCGGTTTCGTCCTTGTTCTCCTCCTGCAGTCACCTTCCCTCTGCTGCTGCCGTGCTGATGGCTCGGCTTCCCGCACGTTTTTCTCCTGCTCTGCGTTCCCGACTCCCCATGTCCTCTTCGAGCCTGTAGTTGTCGCCCCTCGGTCGTGTATGGTTTTCCTGCGCATCATGCCATAGGCGCGTGTCCCAAGTATCTTACACATCAAGTTGATTGTCCATGCAAGTTTCGGCCAACTCCTCGTTTCCATTGATACAAATGGGTTGGGTACGTCACAGGGTAATTGTTTAGTTATTCATGGCTCAAGCTCGTTCATATTCGAATTCGCTTGCGCTTAAACACCCACGGGGGACGGCCCATGCAGTAGACACGCATACGGGGAGCCCCACGCAGTGAATAATTCAAGACGAATGCGTGTGGCGCTAAGGCGACAGCCACATTTTGATTGCGGACCGCCCTCCAACCGCAAAACTCCTGCAACTTTCAAGCTTCAGAATCATCAATGATAAGGAACTCGCAGGTGAAACACCTGGCCCGCCCTTTCGCCCAGCCTCGGAGCGCGACAGGGAGAATTCATTTAGAAGGCAGAGGTGTAGAGGAGGGGGGGCAGAGAAGGAGGGGGTGAGAGGGGGGGGGGGGGGGCCACGGGCAAGGAGGCGGAGAGGAGGAGGAGGACGAGGAGGAGGAGGAGGAGGACAAGGAGGATAGGATGGAGGGGAGGTAGAGGAGACGGATTAAGAGAAGAAGGGGAGGGACAACGCCACAGCGCAGCTTGGCGAGGTGGCGTGGGCGCTCCGGGCAGCGGCCTCGGCTGGATGCGGGATGCGTCCTCGCTGGTGGGGAGCGGCCTCGGCTCGTTGGGCATCGGGAAGGAGCTCTGCGTTTTCTCCTGGCCTCTTGTCCTCCTCTTCTGCTCCTCCATCCTCCTCCTCCTCCTCCTCCTCCTCCTCCTCCTCCTCCTCCTCCTCCTCCTCCTCCTCCCTCCTCCTCCCTCCTCGCTGCCCTCCTCCTCCCTATCCCCCTTCCCCCGCCGCCCCCTCTCCTCCAGGAGGATTGCAGTTCCTCCTCGTCTACCCGTCCCCTCCACCACGGGGAAGGGGCCCTCCTCGTCCTCCTCCTCCTCCTCCTCCTCCTCCTCCTCCTCCTTCTCCTCCTCCTCCCTCCTCCTCCTCCTCCTCCTCCTCCTCCCCTCCTCCTCCTCCTCCTCTCCTCCTCCTCCTCCTCCTCCTCCTCCTCCTCCTCCTCCGTCCCCCTCCTTCCCCCTCCTTGTTCTTCCTTCCCCGTCATTCACGTTGTTCGTCGCTCCTCGAAGTTGTTCCTGTTTCGGGCCCAGAGATCCGCGAGGCTCCGGAAGATTCGGAGCGGCAGCTTTGGGCGATTTTCGGCCCACTGGCCTCCAACGGGGGCCCCAAGACCGTCAGAAAGCAACGCAGGATGAGAAAACGGCCCTAGGGATGAAGTCCAGGCCCCTGCGGGACTACGCATCGGATGAATTGGAGCGCCAGATGTCTGGGTCGGGGTGCGCCCCAGCAGCTGCGTCGGGGTGCACTCCATTTTCTCCATCACTCTTCGGCTCCATGTTGGAAACAGCAGCTGGTCCGACGTCCTGGTCGGTATCCTGTGCCTCTTTCTCTTTCTCTCTCTCTCTCTCTCTCTCTTTCTGGTTCTCTCTCCCTCGACTCTTGTAGGCGCGGCAGACTGAGCGTATTCTAGGGGACTCACCACCCCCTGGGTTAAAAAGTCTGGACCGGCACTGCACGAAGTGGCAGCCCCCTTGGTCCTCGCTCTTCGATCATTCCTCGATATTCGATCTTTGATCGGTCCTCAATCCTGGATCTTCAATCTTCCATCGATCTTCGATATTCTAGCGGGTCTCAGATGAAGTCGACACTTCCTGGCGGCATGAAATGTTACCAGAAACTTGATTTCCCGGAAGTCTCAAGCGAAATCGTCACGGTTTCGGAGTGGAGAGTGTTTTGTTGAGGATGTCCCGCGAAATTTGAATTAGTTGGTGGCATTGGAAATCATCTAGTCGCCTGAAGGGCGGCCGCAGAGTGTTTGCCGAGGAATATTTGAGCGAAATGCGACTTTCTGGTCCATACCCCATTTGGCCATCATTATATCAAAGGGCGATAGTGGTCACGGCAACATTGTATTTGGGCCCCTTGGCCTAACAGGAAACGCGCAACGTTTCTTGCGCGACTTCTGCGCTCAGGACTTTTCAACCCAGGGGACTTACGTATAGGTCACGCAGACGTTCAGGAGGCTCTGTGGCTACGACTGGCTGGTGGCCCCAGGAGCAGTCAAAGATCTTGCAACTTATCGCGCAATGAACATGCATGTTGTTTCGGATGATGTCTTCAATGAGACGTATGTAGCAAGTGAGGTAGACTGATGACAAAATTATCCTGGCGAAGCACCCAGCCATATGCAGCTGTGACTACCGCAATTGTGAATAGTTTCTTCGGTGGAGCCCCGTATGGGGCCACGAAGCGCCGCACTGGGTGGGGGTAACGCATGCGGGCGGTAGCATCGGGGCCGTCGGTGGAGCTCCGTATGGGCCCACAAAAAGCTGTACCGGGAGGGGGGCGAACCTGCGGGCGGTAGCACTGGGGCCGTCGGTGGAGCTCCCTATGGGGCCACGAAACGCTGTACTGGGTGGGGGGGGACGCATGCGGGCGGTAGCACTGGGGCCATAGGTGGGGCTACCTATGGGGCCACGAAAGCTGTGCTGGGTGGGGGTGACCATGCGGGCGGTAACACTGATACCGTCGGTGGAGATCCCTATGGGGCCACGAAACGCTGTACTGGGTGGATGGGACGCAGGCGGGCGGCAGCACTGGGGCCGTCGGTGGAGCTCGCTATGGGGTCAGGCAACGCTGTACTGGCTGGGGGGAGACACATGCGGGCGGTAGCACTGTGGCCGTCGGTGGAGCTCCGTTTGGGGCCACGAAACGCTGTACTGGCTGAGGGAGGTGCACGCGGGCGGTAGAAATGAACCCTTCGGTGGAGCTCCCTATGGGGCCACGAAACGTTGTACTGGCTTGGGGGGAGACGCATGCAGGCGGTAGCAATGGGGCCGTCAGTGGAGCTCCTTATGGGGCCCCGAAACGTTGTACTGGCTGAGGGAGGCGCATGCGGGCGGTAGAACTGGACCCTTTGGTGGAGCCCCCTATGGGGCCACGAAACGCTGTACTGGGCCGGGCGGGGCGCATGCGGGCGGTAGCATTGGTGCCTTCGGTGGAGCTCCAAACGAACGTTGTACTGGGTGGGTGGGACACATGCGGGCGGCAGCACTGGGGCCGTCGGTGGAGCTCCCTATGGGGTCACGAAACGTTGTATTGAGTGGGGGGGCGCATGCGGACGAAGCTCCGTATGCGACCACGAAACGCTGTACTGGGGGGGGGGGCCTACGGGCGGCAGCACTGGGGCCGTCGGTGGAGCCCTCTATGGGGCCACGAAACGCTGTACTTGGTGGGGGCATGCCAGCGGCAGCACTGGGGCCGTCGGTGGAGCTCCTCTTGGGGCCACGAAACGCTGTACTGGGTGGGGGGGGGCGCACGCGGGCGGTAGCACTGGTGCGTTCGGTGGAACTCTTTCTGGGGCCACGGAGCGTGTGAGAGGTGTGCTGAATCGGATGATGATGATGATGCTGATGATGATGATGATGATGATGATGGTGATGATGACGATGATGATGATGATGATGATGATGATGATGATGATCATGATGGTGATGGTGATGGTGATGGTGATGGTGATGGTGATGGTGATGGTGATGATGATTATGATGATGGTGATGGTGATGGTGATGGTGATGGTAATGGTGATGGTGATCGTGATGGTGATGGTGATGATGGTGATGATGATTATGATGATAAATATGATGATGCTTATGATCATGATGATGATGATGATGGTGATGGTGATGGTGATGATGATGATGGTGATGGTGGTGGTGATGGTGATGGTGATGGTGATGATGGTGGTGGTGATGATGAGGATGATGCTGATGGTGATGATGATGATGCTGATGTTGCTGATGATGATGAGGAGGATGAGGATGAGGATGATGATGATGATCATTATGAGCATGATCATGATCATGATGATGCCGATGATGATGGTGTTGATGGTGATGGTGATGATGACGATGCTGGTGATGATGATGATGATGATGCTGATGATGATGATGATGCTGATGATGATGCTGATGATGATGCTGATGATGCTGACGACGACAGGAGGCGAGAGGGGGCAGCGGGTGGAGGTGGAGTGAACGTGGGGCGCTGTCTATTCAAAACGATGACCCAACACCACAGGATTGTTGGGAACAACTAGGTAATGGCGCTCGGAATACTCCGCTATTGCGCTTGGGTCATGGACCAAGCTGTTTCGATGCTTAATGGGGTCCCTCGGAAGGCCGCTTGGAGGCTTCTTGGAGGCCTCTGGAGCGCCTCTTGGTGGCTTGGAGGCGGTCTCGGGGGTGGCATTTGGGCGTGGAGGGCCCCAAAGGCCATTTCGAGCTCTTGGAGCCTTCTTGGGAAGCCGTTGGGCTTATCTTACGTTCTTCAGGTCGGCTTGGGGCGAGTTTGGAAGCCTCTGGCGCCCTCCTGGAAGCCCTTGCGGAAACCATACCAACACCTAAAGTGGTTGAGTGATGTCGGATTCTTGAGCCAGCCCCCAGGGGATTACCCAAGAGCCTCGCCATCGCAAGAGGGCCCCAGGACGGCCCCATGGCACGGGCCATCTTGGGACAAATTGTAAGCTGGGCCCTGGAAAAGTTAGGCGACGCAGCACACGACCGCCTACGAAAACCTGGAATTTGGTGTCAAGGCCTCCTACAGGGCATTCACCATTCTGATCATGCTGAGTTCGAAAGGATCTGAGCGGCACAGTGGCGGATACGATTTCATCTGTACACAGTATTGGCAAGAATATGGGAAATTGATATAGAAGAATCGTCGGCATATTTATGTTCGGCGTTGTGAATCGCGTCATGTGCGAATACAGCCTTGGACAAGATGGACCAGAAACGCGGTGGCGCGTGAATCAGTAGAGGCACGCGCTGATTGCAGCGCGGGACTGTAAAATATGGTCTCCAGGCGTTGGGAGGCAATTGGACAACAGGCCTTGGCTTCCAAGGTGGTCGGCGATGCATTCAAAGCAGGCAGAGTGAGCAGAGTAGAGTAAATCACGAAGGCATGGTAATGGATCTAGTGTGGGCGTGAGAAGGTTTCTGATCTGAGCAGGGCTGCACTTCAGTACCTTCGCGCACAACCAGACCGCAGCATCCAATTCCAACATTGGATAATGGCGACCAGGGGTAACAAGAGAAGCAGTCAAATGACTAATTCCCGTCGTTCGTTCCTCTCACCACCTTTGTCCCCTATCCCCTCTCCGCCCCCACCACTACTTCATCCAAATCCTCCTCCTCCTCATCATCCACTTACTTTTCCTTTCTCTCTCTCTCTCTCTCTTTCTCTTATTGTCTTTCTTTCTGTCTTCATTCGCCTGCATCTCCGTTTCCTCCACACCCGAGGCGGTAGCGCAAAGCCACCAGAAGCGGTGTGATTTCATGAAGTAGACCGGAAAGTGAAGCGCCATTCTTCCGCCTTCCGTTGACTTTGGATGAGCCCGTGGCCCGTATCTTTCGCTGCCAGCCAGCCGTGCTCGCGGCCTGCTGAAAGAATCAGGGGCTGGGCAGGGGTTATGTTGATACGACGTCGCAGCACTTGCATCAGTAGGAGCGCATCTGAAGACATATTGCACATGGCTGGGAAGCGCAATACTAGAGATCATGCATGCTCACGCAAGCGGCGCGCTGAAATATTGTTTTCTGTGGGGGGGCCAGGTAGGCGGTGCGGGGAGCGGCCGCGTGGGCGATTTCGGGCGTTTCTTGTGTTACTCGACGGGTGCCCGAGCAGCCTTCGATGCTCGCTCCGTGGTTTCGAACAGCTTGGGTGGTTATTATGGTGATAGGTCGGGCGTTCCAGGCAAGGCCTTGCCTTCGAGGACCGAAGGAATTGTCATCTCTTCCTCGGCGGAAGGCGGCGGAAGGTCGGCGGAAGTACAACGAGGCCGCCTCCACAGGCGGAAGCCGGCGGAAGGCTGGCGGAAGGCGGCGGAGGTAAAAGTTGCGCCCCCAAGAGGTGAAACCGTTTTTGGGTTCAGGGTTTCCAGAATCACCCAGGTTTGTGCACACACACACACATTTCTCGTCTGGTTTGTTATCCAGTTGCGCTGCCGCGCATGTCCGCCGCTGCGCTGTGAGAGGGGGGCGAAGGGGGCTGGAGGGGGAGCAGAGGGCGGCCGGGAGGAGAAGGGGCCACGAAACGTCCCACCGGTGATGTTTCTGCTCGGCTTCCTTTGCTCGATGCTGTTGCGCGAGAATCTGAACTGACAACAAAGCACTCCTCCATGGGCGTACCTAGCCCATCTGCAACACACGGCAGCACCGACGGGCCCATCCAAGACGGATGAGCACTGAAAAGGCCATAAGGCTCTTTGTGCAAGCTGCGCGGGGGCACCATGCTTTGCACGCTCCCCGGGGGCCAATGTGAGGCGGCACCCGGGGTCGCCACAAGTGGCGTGAGTTCAGGGAGGGCGAGGTCCCGTCGGGCGGGCCCCGAGCCCATTTGGACCTCCCAGTGCCGCAGCGACAATTGCGCGCGGGCGAGAGTCACTTCTGATCCAGCAGGAGGCCATCCCGTTGGACGTCCCAGGGCCGCAGCAGCGTGGCCACAGCTGCTGCGCGCAGCGCTGGCGGGATCCAGTTGGGTGTCCACGCAAGACGCCACTCCGCTGCACCCCCAAGGGGCGCAGCAGAGTGGCGACAGATGCGCGCCTGCAAGCGCTCAGGGAAGGCGAGGTCGATCACGATCAGCGTAGGATGCCACGCCGCTGAACGCCGGGGCGTGGCAGGGCGGCCCCAGCTAATTAGGCGGCTGGAAATGCCCATAAAGGCGGCGGAATCGCTGAGGCTCTCAGAAAACGCGACGAGAAGTGAGAAAGCAAGGGCAGGAGGTGGGGTCGGAGGGGGAGAAGGAGGCGAGCAGCAGTGCTTGATCAAGAGCGAGTACCCCACACGGGAGGGCTGGGTGCAAAGGGGCTGGCACGCATCAGTTGTCGCACGCCGCGACGGCGGGTACTTGTTCTCGGGCTCAAGACATACTGGCAACAAAACCTCTCCTGGCCATCTGCAATGGGAGCCTCTTACCCTGGCTCTGGGCAGGAGTGCCTGCTCCCAGGGGCGCGCGCACCTCCGAGACTTTGGGCGTGCGCCGTTGTTGGGGGGTGGCTGCGGGAAGATGGGGCCGAAGAGGAGGGAGGAGATAAGGAGAAGGAGAGGTAGGAGGCATGACGAAGAGGAGGAAGAGCAGCAGCAGAACTCACCAGCAGCAGACGTCGTCACAACAAATTGTGTGTCGCCTGGTGCCTTTGCCAAAGACAGCTTGCTCCATGAGTTGTGTCATATATCACGGTGGACACTGGGATTTCCGTTGCAGTTGCAGGCCATCGTTTCGAAGTAGCATCGATCCGCGCATACCAATGGATTTTCAGTATCATTTTGTTGTCCGAGTTGCCACGTGAGGGGGCAATCTGAATCCATCAGGAACGGCCCCAGTTCGAACGATGGGATCGCGGAGCCATATGTCATTGCGTATCAGTCCGTATATGCGAGATGCATGAAATCTCATTCCTTGTGCCGCAGATCGTACTCATCCGAAGCATTGGACGCAGCAACTATGATTGTTGAGTGCATTGCGGGTTCGATGCATTGTTGTTTGTTTTCCGTCGTTGGATTCCTTGCCTTGGATCTGCAATGCCCCAGGGTGGGTCTCCTTTTCGACGACCGTGGATGGTGCGAAAGCGCGCGAAAATACGATAGGAGATAAGTGTGTCAGAAGCCAGCTTCCCGTCACTCCAGTATCGTCGGACTTGCACGCAGCAGCGTTGAGCACGTTTGTGATCTTCACACGTTTCGTAGAATAGACGGCAGTAGTGCGTTAGTGACATCTGATTAATGTTTTGTCAGTTCTTGTTTCTGGTCGGGCACCCGCAAACGTCATGGTAACATCGCTCGTCGTGTACGCAATGAACAACCCTGCCCGGCTGAGCAACATGTGGCGACCGCGCTTACCCATGAGGGTTGTTGCCCATGCGCGACATGTCAAAGCTTGTTCTGAAAGGCAGGGGCCGCGCTTGCAAGATTGATGAAGGCAAACCCTGTCAGGCAATATGCCTTACAAAGTTGAAAATAGCCAAAATAATCTTCACGATCGAATCGTTGATCGAATTGGTCGAGAACCAACGGCATACCGGACCGATAAAGTGGCAACTGTGAATTTCCGGTGCACGGCACGATTGTACACGTATTGTTTTTACATTCCGTTGGGGATTGTCACAGGGGAGACGACGGAGGTAAACAGCGTCAGTTGGTCCTTTCATGGCCTTGCGAAGTTACATGGTAAGTAATGTTGGCATGACAAATATTGTCATGAGTATTTGCGACGGTAGCAGATTGAGTGACATTTTCTCAAGCTCAGGCGAATACAGACCGTGCCCACAGTGGCTTCATTCGGTAGCCAAGTTATCACCCGCGTTCGTCGTGCATTGTGAAACGTTTTTGCTACCCACATTTTTGTGTCTTTCGTGACAAGCCAGCAAGGTGCCTCGAGCTTGTGAACACACGTATTTTCATTGGCAGCTATACGCTTAGCCAAGTTCAAGTTCGCACATGCAACAACATGTGGCTGCGAATTGACAGCGCATGTTTCGCGGTCGTCTGGTGGGCAGGATCGGTTCCTCCCTCCCCCCCGCTGTTGGGAGGAAGGGGATTCGATTACCTCACCCCCTCCCCGTCGTTCCCGTGATCATTTGGAGCGGTGTTGAGTGTTGGGACCTTTTGGAGGCATCCTGGATATCATGAGCCGCCTTAGCCACCTGTACTGCTGGAGGCACGCATACTTCGAAATTCAAGAGCAAGAACAGCAGGAAAGCGAAGGGAAAAGATCATGGGAATGCCAGAAGGGTTCAATGAGGAAAGGGAAAACCTAATATAGACAAGAACAGCAAGGAATCGGGGTCTAGCTCCACCAGAATAAGATTTGAAGTCCAGCATACAATGCGTTTGCTTATGATGTGTTCCCAGTTGGTTTCGAGTAACATTCCGTAGACGGGCTAACGGCATTGTAGATAACGCCGATGTAGGTTTCGGTATCGTAGGAACGCGTGGCTCGCGCTTTCCTACCATATGCTGTGTCGTGTTCAATTAATCCATTCGCCGAGTGGAACTGTCGGAAAGTGTGGTTCACGATGCCCTACAGTTTGGTTCACAACTTCACCGTTGAGTAACATCGCCGTTAGCCCGGCCTTGGACGTTCCATATCACATTCGGAGCGTATTCCAGAGCACGTCTGCGTCAAAAGCTTGCTTCGGCAACAAAACATGCATTCTAGAAGTTGTTGTCACAACTGGGTTTCGACGTACATGTATTGATGTTTGTTTGGTGGCCTTGCCGCTATCTCCTGACAATAACTCGTTCAAGGTACCATTCCCTCTATATCCCTGCAAACAGGTCAAGAAATTGATTGTACCAGTTGTGATGATCTCAGTTGTTGGGCCGTTCCATCCGATATTTTCAACTCAGCTATGAGCGAGTCGGATCACTCACGAATGAGTGTATTGACGCCTCACGTACCCCCACCAGCTAAGACCCGATTATTCGGCGGATGTTCGTGGGCCTGCATGTGGAGGAGCCCATAGTGAAACAAAGAGGCGGCACCTATCAAACAGGAGTTAGTATTACACCGAGCTGCCAAAAAAATGCAAAATGCAAACGCGGAAATGTTGGCCATCATCAAGTTATTGTCGGGCGTAGTCGTTGTTTTTCTTTATGTTTCTTTGTGGAAGATCCCGGGTTTCATTGAGGCCCCATTGGGTTGGATTGTCTGAAAATCATATGTTCGTAGTGTCCATGGTCTATTTTGGAATGCGTTGGTGGTCTTCGGGGGTTGTCGTTGGATTGTGTGTGTGTGGTTTCGTTGGTGTTCTTTTCGGCCGTTTTGGAGCCCTTTGGGATTCCCACTGGCCATCTGGGGCTTGAGGTCCACAGGAAGCGAAATATCGAAATTACAAAATTGCATGTGTCTTCGTGCGTTGTCCAGGGAATCGAGTTGCGCTTCGCATGGCATCATTGGGGGGCTTTGTGGCCACCCGAACCCGCATTGGAGCCGTTATTACACGTCTTGGCGCCACGCGCGGTGGTCATCTTGCACAAGTGTTGGCAAGATTGCGATCACGTTTTGTCGTTATTGGTAGGGTGCAGCCACTGCACGGAAGGATTCTCTTTGTCCTGGTTGGTTGGTTTGTCTCAGCGCCACGTTCGGAAATGTTTCAAAACCGCCCAGGGTGTTCCACGAGCACCATAGGGTTTCCGCAGGCAGGACCCCACAAGTATGTTGTTCCACAATGGAGCTAACACATGATTACAACATGTTGCCGTTGTCCGTAGCCCCGACAGCCCATGTAGAAAAGATCCTAGTCGAGTTGACTTGATCAGAGACGTGTAG